AAATATTCTACAGTGCGACGTTAAACCCGATTTCACCTCGCCTCACTACAATTTCTACCACTTAGACTACCACTACGGCCACCACTCAGACCACCGCGACTTTTACCACGACTACAGTGCGTTTGGCTCAAAAGCAGACCGATGAATCTAACTCGAAAACTAATAAACATAACATTCTCAATGAAACGCTGATCATAATCAAAACATCATACCAACAGCCAGGTGTTCGAGAAGCACGTTCACAGACAAAGTTATTTATTCATTAACCTGTGCTGTGCCGTCTCCATCCGTTCTCGAACACCTGGCTGTCCCTTTCTCTGCACTCCTCCGTCGTAACAAATAATGAACTGTGTCAATATTTTAATGATAGATTTTTAAACAACTTTTTTATTTTTAGGACATAAAATCTGCAAACAAATCACAGAGTTGGTATGATGTTTTGATTATGATCAGCGTTTCATTGAGTATTTTATGTTTATTAGTTTTCGAGTTAGATTGCAATTCATCGGTCCGCTTTTGAGCCAAACGGACTATACCAAAGACCACCGCGACTACAACCACCACTACAACATCCACTTCCATTTCGACTACCACTACGACTATGTACCAGCTTATCGTAAGGCTCTCGTAATTTTTCGCTGTTCAGGCCATCAGTTAATGATAGAGTCTGGAAGAAAATCTGGTCTGACAAGAAATTCTAGATTGTGTCCATTTTGTGTTATACCTGTAATTGAGACAGAATATCACATATGTTTGGAATGTCCTTTTTACTATAATCTCAGACGTACAATTTTGCCTGAGTTCTATTGTACTCATCCTTCTGATGATAAACTGGTATTACTTTGCACATCACACGATTTAGGTATTTTAAATCGTATAGCGAAGTTTCTGTTCCTTGCATTCAAACAACGTAACAAATACCTTAACAAAACTTGTACAACCCATTGAGTGTATGTTTATTGACCTTGTACAGTGTTATGACGCTCCAGATTTCCACTTTCATGATATGACTCATGTAACTGTATAATGGGCCTGTGGCCCCTTAATGGAGTAAAACAATTATTACCAGACCGATTACGACTACCGCTACGACTACTACGACGACGACAACTACAACTACCACTACTGCTACTATTACTACGACGACGACCACCAGCCAACACCACCAGCACTACTGTTGCCACTGCTGCAACTTTTACTGCTACAGCTACTGCTGTTGCTGCTACTGCTCTACTACTGTTAAGGCTACTACGTCTACTACTGTTACTGCCATTATATATTCTTTTACTACTTGTACGATAGTGTTTACCCACGATGTGAACTCTATACGTTATTAAAAATATGTATGCATATATCCAACGTATAGAGCTTAAGTAAGTTTACAGTGTGTCCAAAAATATATGTCCCGCTAATAAAGAAAAATATTGTAATAGTTAGGAATTAAATGTATCATGTCATATATATCAGTTTGAAGCTGAAAGGTTTTGTGTAAAGTATGCCAACAAGTGATGTGACGTTATCGTAACGTCTTATGACGTCATTTATGACATTATATGGTATGTTTCTTTACTTGAAAATGACTGATTATTCAGAAATGACATACACTTTGACGTCATTTACGACGTCATTAGGTGTTACGTGAACCCTGCATGCCGTTCTGGTATGCGTTTTCAACTAACGAATATAGCTCACCGTAAGCTCTATACGTTGTCAACCACCGAATACAGCTTACACGTAAGCTCTATACGGCGTAAGCTCTATGCGGCGTAACAACGCCCACAAAGAAAAATAAACACCACTTTTATGTACGGTATGTTTTTTTTATTGGCGGGGCGGCAAGTGCGCTCGCTCCCACCAATTAACTATCAGAAAACACCTGAAGGAATATCTTCTTAAGGGTGACGTTTGGCACTTTGTAAGTTTTATTACATAATGCGTTAAGATGTGCAAAATCTTATTACATTTCGCTACTCAACCCGGTATGTAATACCAACGCGGTTTGTAATAAACCATCAGAAAACTCCGAAATATTAACAGTTCATATGATGGAACGGGTTTAAGCTGAAGTTTACACTTAATTAAGGGTGTAGAACACATATTGTCCTGACCGGAAGGAATATCTTCAACTTTGATTTTCAGTCATTTTCCAGCCTTAGGCAAATGTACCAACTCGCTTTGTAATAAAATCGCCTAAGTCCGAAATGTTTTTGGACTCTGAAAATTTTATTACATAGTGCGTCGTTATTACATAGTGGGTTGCTACTGGTGTAACGCAGTTTGTAATAACCCGATATGTAATAAAATCGCCTAAGTCCGAAATGTTTTTGGACTCTGAAAATTTTATTACAAAGTGCGTTAAGATATGCAAAATCTTATTACATTTCGCTACTCAACCCGGTTTGTAATCAACCATCAGAAAACTCCGAAATATTAACAGTTCATAAGATGGAACGGATTTAAGCTGAAGTTTACACTTAATTAAGGGTGTAGAACACATATCGTCTTCACCGGAAGGAATATCTTCAACTTTGATTTTCAGTCATTTTCCAGCCTTAGGCAAATGTACCAACTCGCTTTGTAATAAAATCGCCTAAGTCCGAAATGTTTTTGGACTCTGAAAATTTTATTACATAGTGCGTTAAGATGTGCAAAATCTTATTACATTTCGCTACTCAACCCGGTTTGTAATCAACCATCAGAAAACTCCGAAATATTAACAGTTCATATGATGGAACGGGTTTAAGCTGAAGTTTACACTTAATTAAGGGGGTAGAACACATATTGTCCTGACCGGAAGGAATATCTTCAACTTTGATTTTCAGTCATTTTCCAGCCTTAGGCAAAAGTACCAACTCGCTTTGTAATAAAATCGCCTAAGTCCGAAATGTTTTTGGACTCTGAAAATTTTATTACATAGTGCGTCGTTATTACAGAGTGGGTTGCTACTGGTGTAACGCAGTTTGTAATAACCCGTTATGTAATAAAATCGCCTAAGTCCGAAATGTTTTTGGACTCTGAAAATTTTATTACATAGTGCGTTGTTATTACATAGTGGGTTGCTACTGGTGTAACGCAGTTTGTAATAACCCGTTATGTAATAAAATCGCCTAAGTCCGAAATGTTTTTGGACTCTGAAAATTTTATTACAAAGTGCGTTGTTATTACATTGTGGGTTGCTACAGTGCTCTCTTGACCATATGTTTTCACCATATTGTAGTTTTGGAAACAGCAACATCTCTAAAACGGACTTAGAGTAGAAAGTCCAATATGCGTTTTTAACGCCTCTCAGTATATATTGTTATCAGTTACCTTGTCAACAATGTTCTACAAAAGAACATCTGCATCGTTATCATCGTTTTATTTGTCTCAACTTTTCAATATCCCCTACGTTTTGTGAGCAGTATATATTTCTGTATCACACCTTGTGTAATGGCATCACATGTGGGCTTTTTACTACCAGCTGGTCGTTAGAATGAGGACATCGGTAGCAAATCCGGGTTAGAATTGATCTTCGGCAACCCATGCTTGTCGTATGAGACGACTAACGGGATCGGGTGGTCAGGCTCGCTGACTTGGTTGACACATGTCGTCGAATCCCAATTGCATAGATCGATGCTCATGATGTTAATCACTGAATTGTCTGGTCCAGACTCATTTTAAAAATTGAAAAGTACAGTATTAAACAAACTTTATGGATAACAACTTCTTTTATTTCGTGAGTGCGACGGTTCGATAAAGATTCTTACAAGTACTAGCTGTTGTCAAGCATGAATTCCGTCAGTTAGTTTTAACCCCCTGGATGCCGAGTTTTTTTCTCAGGGCGCACATTTTCATAACGTTTGAAAAGTGAGCGTTGTGCGAGAATTAGATCTGCGTACGGCTATAGAATTACACAGAAATGTAGAATATTACATTCCCTATCCGTTGGTATGCATATACGTGCAAATACCTCGGCTGTTTGAGAAATAGACACTGCCACATGTAGTCCAAAATTTTGTTATGCCTTATAAAAACAGTAAATTTCACCGCTTTTCATCGGCACTGTGTTACGAATTTTTTTTAATTTGGCATCTTTACGGAAAGTGTGAGCGAAGAAAATACAGCCTGATATCTGAACGACATAAGTGTATATCAAATGGGTTTATGTATACATGAGTTTCAGCAGACGAGTACTTCCGTGTATACACGCGCATGCGCAACGAGCGTAGGGCAAAAGAACGCGGAAGTAGTAGTGACGTCTGCAACAACCGATATCTAACTGGAAGTTAAGCTGCGCAAACACTTCAAACTACCGATGAGTATCTACTACAAAAGTCTGTCCACCATAGACAAACTTCGCTACGAAGAAAAACTGAACTTTCTAGGCTTTTGTTTGGATGACGACCCATACGTAATTAATAAACGATGGAGTGATGATGTGACGCAATGGCCAGATCTACAATACGGCGACCTGTACGCTTACCTCATCGATACACCAGGGCCTTACACAAGGACCAGCCTGCGATCTTTCCGTTCTCTGGAGGCGTATATTTTATTCGAAAGTGGATGGGTTCAAACGACTTTTTATCAGGCACAATGCTGCAAAGACCAAGTGTATTTTGAAGGTATGTTCAGTGCTTGTGTCAATTGATAGTGTAAAATAACCTCTATTTTTTTCAGTGCAACTGCGCCACACAGCATGGCAATTCATCATTTTGTTCACCGCATCATTTAAGCTGTAATGTCGGTATTTCGTGTTAATTTGATTAAAATGTGAACTATTTTGTTATTGTAGTTACAGATACAAAACCCCAAATAAACCACCAAAAAAAACCCCAACTGAACAACCATTGTCCTTATGTTTGTTTTTAAACAAAGTCAATACCCCTGCCTGTAGAACAACGCATTTGCAGATGAATAAATGTCTGTATGTATTTAATCCAAATTATTTTCTTTTATAGGCTAAAGTTCATAGGTCACAGTCTGTAAATGAAAAAACCACATGAAGCCTGGGTTGGACTTGATGTGTGTGGCAAAGTTGACTGTGCACATTGCACATGCATGACAGGGTGAGTGAAAGTTTGATATTATTTATGGAGCCTTATTTATCTCTATTCGAGATGCATTTGTACAAAATTCACATTAATTTTGTGTGGAAAATGAATTAATCAATGACAGTTATGTTTTAACATTGTAAATGCAAGCAGTGGACAATGTTGTAATGGATATGGAATATCAGTTGTATTTTGCAATCACATTGAAGTCATTTAATTCGAAATTTAGTAAAATTTGTCATGATAATTGTACAGGTACAATTTATTTTCAGACTTGGAGAAGTATGTTCTCATGTTGCTGGTATTTTGTTCAAGATAGAGGCCTGTGTTCGTCTTGAGTTCAATAAAGTTGCTTGCACATCAATGCCCTGTAAATGGAATCAAAACTTTACTCAAAAGGTAATTAACAATATGTGAATTAGAACTGAATTATGTTTTGTCTTGTTTTGTTCAGCCTTATTTATTATTTCAACAAATTTGTCCAATATCATCCCAAATTGTTAATTTCAAATTAAATTTGTCTTATTACTAATATTTATTTCCATGTTATATTTATATTAATTAATAAACAGATGAAGTAAAATGCTTTTCTACAATTATTAATTAAAACAAGTCATGATGTGAGTAGAACGTAATCAAATTCCCATTGAATTCTTGAAGTCAACTTATTTTGTTTCAGGTTCAGCCAGCACTTGTTGATGACATTTGCTTCTCTAAAGCCAAGAAGGATCAGATACCTGCACCATTGCCTGCAATACCAGAAGTTACCTTTGCCGACACTTCAAACCTAAGATTAAAACTGAGAAACAGTGTTCCAAATGCTGTACTTTTTAGCATTACTCACCCTGTCATTACCGACTGGACTCAGATACAAAATGAAGTTCTGCCTTCACCATTAACTGTTCTCTATGATGAAAAAAATAAGTTTTTGTCTGAACAAAGTCTACAAATTTTGTGTGAGAATGTGTTTTCAGATCAGCTAAAGGTAACCGTTGACGAGGTTGCAGCACTAGAGAAGGCAACAGTTGGTCAGAGTAAATCGCCAACCTGGTTTGAGCACCGAGTGGGACGTTTAACAGCCTCCAACTTTGGTAGTATTTTTCATTGTAGATGTAAACCAGATCAGCTTTCCTTATTGGAAAAGATCATGCAATACGACCAGACTACAGACACTGAAAACAATTATTGCCGAACTGGGATGCCAGTTTCTTGTGAATGGGGTCTAAAGCATGAGAAAGATGCTCTTAAACACTACCAGTGCCTTATGATGTCATCTCATTTCAATCTTGCCTTAAGTAATTCAGGTTTAGTTGTGAACCAAGATTTTCCTCACTTAGGTGCAACTCCTGATTCTTATTTGTCATGTGATTGCTGTGGGCGAGGACTAGTAGAGGTGAAATGTCTCTATAAATATAAAGATGAACATCCATGCAAGTTGGCAGACCAACAGTTCTTCCTGAATCCCCACACTATGTCAAACCCACTCTGTAGCAATGCACTTAAGCTTTCTCACAATCATTACTATCAAATTCAAGGACAGTTACATGTATGTAATCTTGAATTTTGTGACTTTGTGGTGTGGTCATCTAAAGGTCTTCATGTAGAACGAATATTTAAGAATAAGACAATATGGGATACTTTGAAAGTCAAACTGGACTTTTACTTCTTGCATGTAGTTCTACCAGAACTTCTCACAAGAAAGAATGACCCCAAAATGGAACACGCTTGTCCAACCCCAAGAAAAAAACGGCCACGTAAAGTATGAACAAAAACACTATAAAACGTGGGTAGTTGACAACTGTATTTACATGAACATCTGGCCAAGGGAGGTAATATTGCAATTTTCTTGTCAAATTCTATAATGCAGTTATTTTACAATTTTGACCAATGTTGAAGTCAAAATATGTTTGTATTTCAGGCCTTATACAATCATATACAGATTGAATACACAGACGATTTTAACAGAGTATCATGCTTAGACATTGCATTGTAAATGTATCGTGATAGTTTTAAGTTGATACAGTTATCATTAGAAGACAGGAATTGTTTAAACGCTACAGTAGGTGACTTGGATATGTACCAAACTACCATTCAGGAATATATTGTTTACGCAAATGTAATTAAGATGGACAGACAAATAAACATTGAAATATCTACTTTACACAATGGGCTAATTCTAATACATGTCGATCGACATACATCTTCCTTCATTTACCTAAAGGAATCATATTGTGGGCTTTTATCTCACACTGAGTGCCAATCTTGATTAAACATATTGATAGGAGTTTTCTCAGAATTGATACAAAGAGATTCACATTGCCAGATGAGTGGTTTACCCACATGAAACCATAACCATGAGAAAATATGTTTCTTACAAGAGATGCCCATGTTACTTTAGCCAAATCATCTAGATGAACAAGCATATTGTAAGCATTTGGGTAGTCTATTTTCATGCATATATACACTTTTTAGTCAGTATTTTATGCATCTAATATAGGAATTGACATACAAGGGATATCTGCCACAGCCTGCATATACCATATATGTTGGTGTTGACTCCCACACCAAGAAACTTTTTACACACCACTAGATGTACTCTTTTGATAATTTCAAAATGCTGGAATCCTCACATCTTGGATACGTAGAGTAAGATAGGCTCTATTTGTGAACAAATAGCTTCAAAATATTTTGAGCGTCAACACGCCAAAGTTATGCATCATACACTATAAACTAATTACTGCTTTCCTGGTTCTCAAGGCTAGTTCAGCAACCAATTTTTTCAAATTAATGGTTGTATGAAACATAAAACCAAATTATGTGTGCAGATTTCTTACAGTTACAGGTTGATTTACAAAACACCATCTATATCTTTCTGCAACTGGCCCACCATTTTCTGAAAATTATTATATGTGTTACACATACACATACACATGAGTTCAATGTCTTTGTATAACATTCTAACATATACAATTGTGTCGGAAGCCCAACAACTGATTCTGGTCAAATAATAACATCGTCAGATAAAAGTATTAACATTCTATTAGATATTTCTTTGCACTTATCTACTGAAGATATTAATAAATACAATTTATATGATGGACAATGACTTTGTTGAATTGTACAACTTTAAAATGGAGTGTAAGCTGTAGCTAATGGACAATGGATATATTCCAAGTCAATCAATGCACTACATCAAATTATTCCAGGATTGGAGGACACAAGTTCACCAAGGCAGCACACACTTGTACCATCTTGCCAACGGTACACTTCTCAGAGGTCTTCCCTCTTTTGACAAGAGTGATAGGCAGGGGACCCTTTATGACAGCCCAGTCTTTGAGGCGGTTGATAACGCGCTCCACATGAATCCTCACATTGGAGTACACCCTAGATGTTTCAACTTCTTGTCTTGAGAGTTGGTTCTTGCCTTTGGTGTATGCAGGCACTGTTAACTTTGCACCCCTGGTTGCCAATTCAGTGTCGATGAAAAAGCCTCTGTCAGCCAAAACTACATCACCTGCAAATACATTGGATAATCGATTAATGTAAACATGATAATATAAAATTATTGGTTGGCATGCTATGCAACTATTTTCAAGTTCAGAGGAATTATAAAAAAAATCACTGCATGAACTGTAATGAAGTATTTTATACTTCAAGCAGTGATTTGCAGTTGGAACCTTTGCTGTCTGCTTGTGATTCTTACTTGACCTCACACAAATGTTCTGATCACAGAAAGCTAACTAAGCAGCTGTCATATTGGGCAAATATGTTGTCCACTGAGCTATCCTTATCCATGTTATCTATTCATGGAGTCAAGAAGTTAAATGTGAACTAGCTGTGACTGTTGTTACTGTAATTGAGTATTGTACGAAACACTAGTAACTTAAAATATAAATAATATGATGGTTATTCATATTACCTGGAACAAACTTCTCAATGATGCCACTCTGGAAAGTAATGACCTTGTCACTGGCTCGTCCACCCCACATAGGGGATAGGAAGATGATGGCTCCAGAGGGGCTGATCCCAATCAGAAACTTTACTGTGTTGTGTTGCTTGTACCGGGAGTATGTCTGTAACCTTGCTTTGTTGTTACTTGGCCTTTCAATGAAGATTTCAGTACAGTCAATAATACACTTGACTCGTCGAAATGTCTTGTTGCGAAATGCTGTCGGCAACTGCATGTCCATTGATTCTGGCCATTTGACAAGTCCTCCCAGTTGAATGTACAAGACGTCCAACCAAGCATGAAAGATTTTGGTGGCTGATGATTTTGCTATTCCAAATC